AGTTGGCCATGTGCGACACATGTTAGCTTGAAGATCAAGCTAACTATGTGGCCCACACATAGAAAAACTTGCCTTGTAAGTCAAGGCATGTGTCCTACAAAGTCAACACATATTGGAGGTCCTATAGAACATCGCCATGTAGCCCCTAGTTAGATAGTATATATAGAGATAAGAGTGAAGGCTTCTTCACTCTTGTCAACTCCTTTCGTGCTTCTAGTCCAGGTTCAAGAGTCTTTAGTTTCTTGTCTTGTGGCAATAGCCATTCCAATTTCCTTTTAATATACATACTTGCTTATATTTTGACTTATTATATTGAGAGAGACCTTTTGTGTATATTTTCCTTCATCGAGTCTTTGTCCTTGACAGAAATCCTTCAAAGTCTCATGATACTTTCAAGTTTGAAATCAAGATTAATCTACTATATTTCAAAGGATGCCTCTATGTTCTTGAAGGTGAAGCTCGATTACTTGTTCTTAAAGCTAGTTATGACTTTAAAGCAGCAAGACATTTTGGGTATAATAAAACTTTGGAACTAATATCTAGAGATTCTTAGTGGCCCTAAATGTAGAAGGTAGTCAAAGATTTTGTACAATCTTGTGATGTTTACTCAAGATCAAAAACTCCTTGTCATCGACCTTATGAACTTTTTCAGCCATTATCCATTTCAGAACAACTATGGTTTTTTTTTTATTTCTATGGATTTCATACAAGATCTTCGAATCTCAAGTTCTTATGACTTTATATTCGTGATAGTAGATTGTTTTACTAAGATGGCACATTTTGTACTATGTACAAAATCTATCACATGTAAACAAACAATTAAGCTATTTCTTGACAATATCTATTGCTATCATGGATTATACAAGGATATTATATTAAATAGGAGAACTTAGTTTGTATGAAGATTTTAGTGGATTCTTTTCAAGATTCTAAAGTAGATATAAAACTATCTTTGGCATTCCATCCTCAAATTGATGGACAAACGGAGTGTGTTAATCGAGTTTTAGAGCAGTATTTAAGATGTACCACCAACTACCAACAAAATGATTGGACAATTCTTGTGCCATTGACAAAGTTTGCTTATAATAATACAATTCATTCTTCTACAAAACAAACATCTTTCTTTGCCAATTATGGTTATCATCTATGACTTGATACTTTTGATTTTTCAAAAGTTGATAATTCTGTAGTAAAAGATTTGGTAAATCATTTGTTAGAGCTACATGCATTAATAAAGGTGTAGTTAAGAGAAGCTCAAGAACAACAAAAGATCAATGCGGATGTCTATGAAAATGAACAACCACCATTCCACATCGGTGATAAGGTATGATTACTTTGTCACTATATCAAGACCACTTGTCATTGTAACAAGTTGGACTATCAAAGGCTTGGACCATTTTCTATTTCTGCACAAATTAATCTAGTTGCATATTGTTTACACCTATGAGAGTCAATAAAAATCCATCCAGTATTGCACATATCTCTTCTTGAACTATATGAGATAATGGACATAATAAGAAGAAGACAAGTTCTACCTCCTTCTATAGAAGTGGACAATAACAAAGAGTTCAAAGTGAAAAAAGTCATAGATTTAAGGCGACGATAAAATAAATTAAAATATCTTATCCATTGGTGCGGATATGATATTAATGAATGCACATAAGAGTAAATAAAGAATCTTATAAATGAAAAAAAAGTGGTGGAGGCTTTTTATTGACGACATCCATCAAAATTAAGATGAAAACCTTCCTTATAAAAGAAACAAGATCTAAGTAAGATAACATTTTACTTTCATTCCTTGTTTGTAGCTTCTTTGTAGTTGTGATGCCAAGGAGATGGAAAATCAACAACTAACGGATTTGACTCAAGAGCCTTTGTTTGCTGACCTGTCGGATAACACATTACGATTGCCATAACCTTCAAAATGATGCAATTGAGATGAAGATCCTCAAGAACGACATGTTCTTCCTCGAATAGATGGCGAGATACAATGCGTTTGGTATCACGACCTTGGAAGGGACTTCCGATGTTTGATGATCTTACTAGAGGTAAGAACAACTCTTGATTGAGTTCCAAATATTTCATTTGAAGCAAGTTATGAAGGCCTCAAGAATGATCAAATAACTAGGTGGTCTTCTCGCCCTGCTATGGAATACTATTGATGGTTGAGAGGCCCTATCGATCATCTTCGAAGAGAATAAAGATCTAAGTATGTTGCAAATACAATTCGCGGCATCGTAGACTTCCTCGACATGTGATCACCGCTCCTTGTGGAACTCGTCCTTAAAAGGGAGGATAATGTCATGGACATATATTTACTATAATTATTATCTAAGTAATATGAATAGATAGAAATAGGTAAAAGTAAATTAATTTCATAATATCTTCTAAAAAAAGCTTTATAGAATCTTCATAGATTCTACTTTGACTTTACATGTATTTATACTTGATTGATAGGTTAGAAATTTGGTCAACAAATTAACCACATACCACACATGTTGGTAGCTTGCAAAACAAGCTAACTATGTGTCGTCCATATAGAAAACTTGCCTTGCAAGTTAAGATATATGTTGTGCAAAGTCAACACATTTTTGGAGGTCCTATTGAACGTTGCCACATAGCTCCTACGTAAATAGTATATATAGAGGCAAGAGTGAAGTCTTCTTCACTCTTGCCAACTCCTTTCTTGCTTCTAGTCTAGTTTCAAGGATCTCTAGTTTTCTTGTCTTTTGGCAATAGCCATTCTAGTTTCTTTCTTAATATACATATTTAGTTATTTTTATTTTTTCATCTTTTTTTTGAGAAAAGTTTCATTTGTTTATTTATTTTTATCAAGTTCTTGTCCTTGATAAGTAACTCAACTAAAGATAATTTTTGAATTAAATATACTAATTATTAATACATCATTTCATTAATATTATAATTATATAAAAAAATTATAAAAAATAGAAGATAGAATGTAATCTTCATTAGACATGTTTTGGTTTATAGTAAGGATTTTTTTTAACTCATCTTGATTTTAATTGATGAAGTAAAAAAAAAACATCAACCTTCTTTGTCACATTTACAAGATTTTTAGATGGCTCCCATATTTGTTCACTAATATCATATCTACATTAATGTATAAGATATTCTAACTTATTTCTTTTGATATTCTTGATTTTTTTTAATTATACATTTATTATCACGTGTAGATATAATAAAAGATTATTTTTGAATTCAATATTAGAAATATCATGAAATTTAAAAGAATTATTTTTAATATCATACACAAGAAGGTTTGAAGACATACTTAATTGCACTTGATTAAAAAATATTGAATCAACAATTAATGTTGATTTCATTACTTAAAGTTGAAAGTTCTATGGCTTTAAAAAAATTGTTTGTTGTTAATTAAAGGCTATGTTTTTTTCTTTAAGTGCAAGATAAGAATGTTCAAAAGAAACATTTAATAAATCTTATTGGTTTTTTATCCAATAAGTGATACTAAATATAAATCTTAACATAGACATATTTCAATGAACTTGATAACAATTCAAAATGCATGCTGATATTAAATATTTGAGATCTTTGTTATTTGTTTAATTGATTATTTAATTAGAAGAACTTTTTAGATAATGGCATCATTCTTGAAATGAATCTACAATTACAAAAAGCTCTTTGTCATAGATCTTACGTCATATAACTGATTTGTATTGTCATTTGACTTATAAATACAGAGCACGCAGATCGGTGACGGAGGAATCTGCGTGGATTGCAGGGGATTTGGATTCAGTGGATCCATGTGCAACGCCCAGTTCAAATCACGTGCCATCTGGAGCAAGCTAACACCTCTTCCCGGGCCACGCCGAAAAGGCAACAAAAACGACGTCATCACCGTGATCGCTCAAGTCACCGTGCGATTGGAGTCACTGGGAGATTTCTGGCGTTCACTTCAGCGTAATGTCATGCGACGTAAGCATTGGGGCCCGTTCGGTGCCTTTCTCCCCAGTTTTGCTTTCCCAATTGTAGTATTAGTCTAGCCCGGCGCTTGTCCTGGTGCCATACGTGGGTCATCTAGTTTCAAAACTAACAATGATGCGTGCATGAAGCCGGGAAGGACGAGCTGCACGCAACTGGTCCCTGAAAAGGAGCGCAGTGGTCTTCGAAAAGGACCGAGTGCTGCTTTCGCTGATGGTATCTCTTTTCCCATGAAGTGGTATACCTTTCTGATCGACAGCGAGTGAAAGGACACACTCTGGAAGGTGGATGGCACTTGGAAACCGCGGAGAGGGTTAGGATTTGAACTGTGAAACAGGATCTTCTGATACTATATATATATATATATATACATATATTAGGATAACATACATTAGATTTTTAATAGATGGCATGAACCCCACCACAGAGGCTGCCACTCTTCCAATTCAAACTGACGAATTCTTCCACCACATATTTTTACCACCATTTCAATTTAAATTAGTTTGTTCTTCCACAGCAGACACTGCTGCTCTTCCCATTCTCAAGTCCTTTCTGAGGCCTTGATTTGCGAGTGCATGAGTCATTCGGCAAGGCTGGACTTCGCCGATATTTACATGTGATCATGAGAAAACCTTCTGACGGCGTCATCTCATTGCTCTTTTTAGATAATGCCCACGTAGATCGTCCACTAATATTAAATACCAAATTGTGTGTAGACTTCACTGCGAACTGTGTCAGTGCATTCGCGATTCAATTTGCAGTGGAGATAACGGTAGACGATATGTATTGACATTATCTTCGAGTGCAGTGCACGCACAAGGGTTCACAATAGGGGTGTGTGTGTGTGTGTGTTTTTTTTTTTTTTTTTTTTTTTTTTTAATTTTTAATTTTTAATTTTGATGTTAGTGGACGCAATTTTTTCGCTTCAAAGACTGACAAGAATCAGTCAACTAGTTGAATCAGAAGCAAATGATCAGTGAAATTTGCAGTTGCGAGAACGAGGGTGATATCCGTAATTTGACACCAACAATTGTTACATCTTTGGAGTCTATGAATTATGAACAGGGTTTATATTAGAAATGCGTGTGACACCTTGATGGCACTGAAGCCATGTAATGGATATTTTTACTGACCTGGTGAAAGAATGAATAACTAAGAGACATTGGTCGTGATCAGAAGCTTACAAAATCTCACTGCCTATACTACGCTGTCATGCTGCTCGCAGTGATGCCTGATTCGCTCAGAAGGTCGCAGGTCGAAGCTCCCCGAGATTCATAGCATTAAGAATTCATCGATGCGGTGAATACCACATTCTATCACCAAATTAAAATCTGGTCAAGTAATCCAGTTACATTGCAACAGCAATCGTCGCGGACAATGAAAGGGCGGCCAAAAGAGAGACGGCGCTGGAGAAGGTTGTAGTGGGTGCAGTGTGGTTTGCTGGACCAGGAGCACCTGCAACGGGCGGAGGTGGAGGAGGCGCCGCAACAAAAGCCCCAGTCGCGACGATCGTGAACTTCATGCCCTGTGCGCAATGAGCTGGAGTGCCGCATATGAAGTAATATGTCCCAGCGTTGCTGATGAACACAGAGTCACGCCCACTTACCCACTTACCGACAGGGGTCTTGGGCAAGGTGCACGCTATGTATTCTGCCTCCGACGCCAATTAATAAACGCTGTGGGTGGCATTGTCATACTGGAAAACTGTCAATGGCAGACGCAAGTTCATTAGTGAGTCAGTACATCAGAGCTGTAAGAATCACGAGAAAAAGTGCAAATGGAGGATTACAGTTCAGTGACATACGAAGAGAATCGCCCGTTTTGAGAGTGATGTTCTTCGCCCAGTCGTTGTAGAAAGACAGCTTGCTGTTCGAATGAAGGAAACTCCACTTGGACAATTCCCCTCCCACCACATACTGCGCAGCGAGCGTCCCCTTCAGAAACATCGACAGGGACACCACTAAAACCGCAATGTGTGAGAATGCACTACCCCTTCCCTGCCTCATCGCCGCCATGATTCAAACTATCGCTCACAGGAGCCTAGGTGCTGAAGGTGGGTACTGATGAAGCACCGAGCTAATGATTCTAACGAAAAGTCACTTGCGAAGTCAGTGAAGAGATGCAGCCAACACATTGACGGGGTCTGGTGGTCTGACGAAGTTACACCTAAATCCCTCCAATAACCCTATAATATACTGACCCGCGCAAGGTATTTCTTACACGAACAAATGTCCATGCAAGAAACGTGCCATGCTACAAATGGCCAGGCAGGTCACATTTTTAAGAATCTGGAATATATTACGCACGCAAGCATCGAGATATTAGTGCGTTGCGTTGTCTTCCAGAACACGTGCGCTCCTGCGGTACTTAATGATAACGTGGAAACGAGTACACGGCGGGAATTTGGGAGCCTTGCCGAATTGACGCCGATAAGCATTACTTTAAATTTCGTTTCAGAAGAATGAAATTGGAGCCTTGAACTCGGGTTCAGTGTCAGGAGGTCCAAGTCTGCGAGTGGGAAATTTCGGTTGGGTGACATCTAATGATCTTCAAGTGTCCCTTTTTCTGAGTGAGCTAGTTCTAGTGACCAGCAACTGTGGTTGCCGGCAAACCTATCCATTCTTCAGTGGTTTTTACACGTTGAGAACATGAATACGCCGTTGCTTCTGATCTCAACGATTTTTGGTTTATTGCTCTCAGGTACAATTGCCGAAGAATGTCCTTTCAGCCATGGACGCAACCTTCTTCAAGCTGGAGCACCTAATCCAGCCCCGGCACCCGAACAGGGCGCTCCAGCTCCATCGTCACTTCCCACACGCCCCACGGGGTAAAGACGTCTACGGCGGACCGCCACTGGATTATGATTTTTACACCACGATGAGCCCTTCGTTTCAGCAGATTGTGAAGAGCGAGGTCGCCAAAGCTATGCTTGCAGATTCCCTTACTCCCGCGCAGCTGCTTCGTTTATTCTTCCACGACTGTTTCGTGATGGGATGCGACGCGTCTCTCTTACTGAAATCCACCGTGCTGAACCTCGCAGAGAGGGACCATCCAAGCAACTTCACGGTGGATAAGTTTTCCGTCATCGACGCTATCAAGGCTGAGCTCGAGAAGGCTTGCCCTGGCATTGTGTCGTGTGCTGACATTGTGGGTGCTGCTGCTGTAGAAGCTGTGGAACAGGTAAGGTTTCCCCTGTCATGTTTGCTATAGTTTCGTTTCGAGTGTGAGGTCTTTTACATGGTTCTCGAACAATCAGCTCGACTATGTCTCTTAATGTCTGGTCCTCGCTGCCAGGCCGGAGGACCTCACATCGACCTTGCATATGGTCGAAGGGACGGCCTTGACTCGTTTGGGCAAGCTGCGAAGACGAATCTACCCGGCAGCACGCTTCAAGTCGAGGGCCTACGAGAAAACTTCGCAAACGTGGGTCTGAATCTCACAGACATGGTGGTGCTCTCAGGAGGTCATACAATTGGTCAAGCCCGCTGCTCCTCATTCGCGGACCGATTCGCACCTGCAGCGAAGAACCCATTCCCCGACACTATATTCGGCCAAGAGCTCAATGCTTACTGTGTCGAAGGCAACAGACTAGGAATCGATCGCCGAATGACGCTCGACGCCAACAGCACCACAATCTTCGACAACGGCTACTTCCAGAGCATCGTTGCAGGCCGCGGCATACTGACAACCGACAACGTCCTCTTCACCGATAACCGCACTAAATCCCTGGTCACTACCTTCGCGCAGGACCAGACTGTGTTCTTCGATGCATTCAAGGAGTTGATGGCGAAGATGGGCCGCATTGGTGTGCTGACCGGCACTCAGGGGCAGATTCGCAAGCAGTGCTGGGTGCGCAACCCCATTGACCCCGCAACCACGCCCGACGCGAACATGGAGTTCGCGCCTGCGAGCTTAGAGTTCTGCACGCCTAATCCTTGCCCTGCCACATGCTCCAGCAACACTGCATAGATTTAATATCACCTGCGTAAGGTAGATGTAGAGACTTCTTTTGTTTATTAAGTCCAGACTGTGTTGCAAGTGATCAGGCAAGCTGATCCGGCACTGTGTCCATTTAGATTTTGTCTAACGAGATCCAACACCTAATTTTTTCACAATTGTAATACATACATTGTGTTTAAGTTTTGGTCCATCGAATCTTGCTTCTTTTTCGTTCAATTCTGTCTTCGTGATCAACCTGATCGTGTATCAGTGGATAAATTTCGTATATGATTCGACAGGAAGCCTCATTTCTTTATGGTCTCGTCGTGGCTGGCGTTGTGCGACACCATTGCAGAACGCTTTCCTAATTTGCAATTCAACAGAATCTCTTTATCATCCATGGAGGTCATAATTGGGGACAGTTGGAACAGCTGGAGATACTTTTGATTAATATTATTTTAGAAAAGTTTTGAGATTTTTATTGATTATTTGTAAAAAATTAAATGTTTCCAAAGGAAAAATATTTTGGTTTACAAATCAACAGAGGAATGCATATAAATGAAGTGGAATATCCTTAAAAACCATGTACATTGAACTCATGTGCGCGGAATTTGTTCAAGAACTTAGGTGTGACTACATGGCTTCAAATTTGTTGTAGCAAGATGATTAATAAGTATTGATTATGGTAAAAGCTTTTTAATGTGCAGAAGGAAGGGTTCGGATTTGGATCCAGTGCTGCACTGTGAGTGTGGAATTAAGCTTAAGGTATTGATGAACATGGACTTAGTCTACTAAATCTCACTCGCTTTCTAGTCATGCTGAATTCCTCCACTTCTGAATGAGTCTTGACTGGAAGAAATCTGAGGTTTGAAGGAAATGTAAACATGATCACCGATGCCGCAAGTCCCACTAATTGGAAGAATCTAGGTCTTCATTGCCAAGGACCAAATCTCTAGTCACATACTCTCAGAAGCAGGGCTTCGCCTGTGAAGATTTGACATCGTTACAGCCATGATTCAGACATAGGCTTCTTGAAAGGCGACTTTTGTTGCATTCGCGCCCCTTCTAATGTCATGAATCTACAAGGTTAAGAAAGTTTTGAAGGGCACGACGGGTATTGTATAGCTTCCAATTTCAGCACTGATCGCCCCACTCAATGAATTGAATCCATGCACCCATAACCCACGTTTGGGATGCATCATATTGAAGAAACACAATAAGCAAGACACAAGTAGAAATGAGCAAGGTTAGAGACAAGAGAAGTGTGGAATGAGATACCTCTCTCTTCCAACACCCTTTACTTATAAGTAGAGGTTACATCCATTTTATCTAGTATTCATCTTACTTTCATCCAACTAAACCTTAGATTCCTCTTAACCTAGCTGCCACTTTAAACCCTAGCCGCCACCTTGGTCACTTTCCTTCATCCTTTTGCTAACCTTTGACCATTAGCAACTTATCTAAGATAATATCTTTTACCTTCTAACTTATCATCCATTTACTTTAACACTCCCACTTTGCTATTGGTCAAAGGCTAATAAACCTGATCCCTTTGTCAATTTGTAATGTCTATCCTTCACCAATGCTTTTGTAAGTAAATCAGCAAGCATGTCTTCCGTTGCACAATATTTCATGTCAATTACTCTCATCTCAAACTTCTCTCGTATGAAGTAATGTTGAATGTCAATGTATTTTGTCCTTGAATGATGCTTTGGATTCTTGGCAAAAGTAAGGCATCTTTAATTGTCACACTTCATTGAAGTTGCTTCCAATTGCACAAGTCCAATGTCTTCTAAAACTTATCTTAGCCATATTGCCTCCATTGTACCATGACTTGCTGCCATGTATTCCGCCTCCATTGTAGACCTTGCAATTGTTGGTTGTCTCTTATAATTCCATGAAATTGCTCCTATTCCAACAAAGAATACATATCTCGTTGTTGATCTTCTATCATTTCCATCTCTAGCCCAATCCGCATCACAATATCCATGCAATGTAATACTATCACCTCCAAGATACAATTTGAAGTTCAAAGTACCTTTTAAGTAACTCAAGATCTTCTTAATGGTTGCCAAAAGAATTGGTCCAACTTTTGACATGTGTTGACTCACAACACTCATCGCATATGCAAGATCCACCCTTGTATCAACCATTGCATACATAAGTGAGCCTACTGCTGCCTAGTATGGAATATCTTTCATTTCTTTGTCAACTTCAACAAATTCCTCATCTGTGAGCTTCATCAACTTCAAATTTACTTCCAAAGGTGTTCCAATGGACTTGCACTCCTCCATGTTGAACCGTTTTAACACTTCTTCAATGTACTTCTTTTGGCTCAATGTAATGATCTTCTTAGCTCGATCTCTCATAAATTCCACTCTTAAGCAATAGTGGAGTTCTCTCAAATCACTCATTTCAAATTCTTTTGCTAACTTTACCTTCAACTAATCCATCTTTTTCAAAATATTGGTCAAAATGATCAAATCATCAACATAAAGAATAACAATCAGCAAGAAGGCTTTTGATTGCATCACATAGATGGAATGATCAACCTCACTCATCAAAAATCCTTCATTCACAAAGAAGGTGTCGATACATTGGTACCATATCCTTGATGATTGCTTAAGCCCATATAAGGATTTCTTCAACTTACACACAAGGTGTTGTTTGCCTTCTTTAATAAATCCTTGAGGTTGATCCATGTAGATGTCTTCTTCCAATTCTCCATTCAAGAAAGCCATCTTCACATTCATTTGGTACATTTCCAAGTCCATTGCTGCCCCAATTACCACAATGGTTCTAATGGTGGTGAATTTGGCCACGGGAGTAAATGTCTCATTGAAATCAACACCAACAACTTGTGAGTAGCCTTTAGCAATTAATCTTGTCTTATACCTCACAATATTATCCATTGCATCCCTTTTGGTTCTAAACACCCACTTACAACCAATTGAAGCTCAATTTGGTAGAAGTTGAGTCAATTCCCATGTTCCATTGTCCATGAGTGATTTGTACTCTTCTTCCATAGCATTCTCCCACTTCATAGCAACCGTGGACTTCATTGCATTACATAAACTCAACGGATCAGCAAGAAGTGCAACATTGGCATATTCTTTACTCACTTGAGGAAAAATATGGTCCTTCCACCATTCACCACGTTGTTTTCTATCTCTCAAAGGATATCTCCTTTCATTTGAAGAAGACTCAACTTGTTGCACTCCATGGTCACCTCCAACCTTCTTTTCTTTTGAAGATAGTCTTTTCTCACTCAAAGGTTTATAATCCTCATCACCATCATTATCAACATCTTCATGATCTTCATTGCTGGTCTTAGCAATTATAGAGGCCTTCTTGTCTACCTTCTTTGCCTCTTCATCTTCATTTCCACCTTTATAACCATCATTGTCTTTGTCTTCTTTCTTCTTTGTTGAATTTGAAGATATGTCCACAAACACACCATTACTCTCACTTGGACACATCTCCAAGTGCTCACAAGCACTCTTGTGCTTCAAAAACTCAACATCACGACTTTTGATGATATTTTTAGTCTCCAAACACATGAGCCTATAAGCCTTTGTATCTTTATAATATCCAACAAACATACATTTTGTACCTTTTGCATCAAATTTTGATTTCATACAATCTGATATCTTTGCATATTCTATGCATCTAAAGGTCCTCATGTGAGAAACACAAGATTTTCTCTCACTCCAAGCTTCTTCAGGTGTCATTGATGTAAGTGCACTTGTAGGACACCTATTTCTTGTGTATACTGCATTCACCACTGCTTCCATCCAAAATTCATGTCCAAGGTGTTGTGCATGAAGCATACTCCTTGCCATCTCCACAATGGTCCGATTTGCTCTTTCAGCAATTCCATTTTATTGTGGAATGTAAGGAGAGAAGGTTTGTCTTGCAATAAAATGAAACTTTAAGCAATCATTGAATTGCTTTGACATATACTCACCTCCATTGTCTATATATAATACCTTGATTTTGCATTCACATTGCTTCTCCACAAGTGCCTTAAACTCCTTAAACCTTGTAAAATACTCACTCTTTGCTTTGAAGATGAAAATCCATACTTTCCTTGAAAAGTCATCAATGAATGTGACAAAATACCTTGCACCTCCTATTGATGGCATCTTCATAGGTCCACAAACATTAGAATGGACAATCTCCAATAACTTGGTTGCACGTGTTGCAACTCCACTTGGAAATGAGACCCTTTGTTGTTTGCGTTGAATACAACTTTTACAAGTAAGTGTCATAGCATTGTGGCTTATATGACCAAGATCTAAGCCACTTACCATGGATTGGAGCTCCTTCATGCTCTTGGCATTCAAATGACCAAGGCGTTGATGCCAAATGCCAATCCTGTCTTGATCTTGAAGAAATTCAACAAATGTCGCCACTTCAACTCCACTCACCTTTTTACACTTGATGAAGTACAGATTGCCATTTCTAAAGCCCTTTGCAATATGATCTCCTTTCAATGTCTTCACAAAACATCTATTCTTATCAAATTGCACTTCACAACCATGTGAAATAAGTTTACTCACCAAGTATTAGGGACAAAGTCCTTAGAACCTTCTAAAGACAAGTTTCTAGAACCTTCTAGAAGCAAGTCTCTAGAACCTTCTAAAAGCTTCTTAGTTGTTAGAAGATGTTAGGGACATAATCCTTAGAACCTTCTAGAGATAAGTTTCTAGAACCTTCTAGAAACAAGTCTCTGGAACCTTCTAGAAGCTTCCTCGTTGATAGAAGTTGCTTGAGAAGCTTCCTAAATAGGAGTATATATTGGAATCGAGGCTAAAGAGTTCTTCAATCTTGAAAACTCATCTCTTGGAGTTCTAACTCACCTCTCTGGTGTTGTTCTTGTATTCATCTGATTAATCTAGTTCTTGCTAGTTCTTCTTGAACTTCTTGTTAGATCTCGAGTCTATATTTTTGTGTCCGTGACAGTTTGTCAAGACTGCACTCACCTCAAATATCAGAGTTAGTTTCTTCCTTGTTAGAGTGCGGATTATCCTTGTGCTTGGAAGTGTACTAGCATTTTAGATTTTGCGGATTACCCTCCTCTAAACTGATACTTCTTTTGTTATAATATTGGAGTCTTATTCTTCTTGGAGAGAGTGGATTATTCCTTTTCTTGAAGCTCTTAAGGCATTTTAGAGGTTGCGGAGTACCCTCCTCTAAA